TTTAGCTAACTATTGCTTCTTCAAATATTAACTTCTTAGAAGTTTATGTCATTGTGATTCTTGACCTAGGAAATTCCAGATATTTCATCCAACTTTCGGAGATTCCAGTAGGAAGATGCACATGAGTTCCTACAATGCTTGTCAGATAGACTTGACAGCTGTTGTATTTATTCACAGACAAAGGATACTTCTTTGCCTTCAGCTGATGAGAGCTTGGTCAAGCAAGTTTTTGGTGGCCGTCTGATTAGCAAAGTATGAATTTTAAATTTATTTCTGATTCACTTTTTATATTGATTATTTTGATAACGAGGTTAGCTATTATTTATTAGAAAAAAGTTTGCTATTAAAGCTAACATCATACGCAATGAAGTGATTCAAGATGGGTAGGATTGAGGATTTGGAATTGTTTCTTAATTGTTGAACGCTTTTGTGTTTGAATTCCAGCTTCAATGCTGCAATTGTGGTCACTCTTCTGACACCTATGAGCCCTTGATTGACCTGAGTTTGGAGATTGAGAATGTGGGTGCTCTTCCTAGTGCATTGGAATCTTTCATGAAGGTGGAAAAGATTGAAGATCCAGAGACAAAGTTCACTTGTGAACAATGTAAAGAAAAAGTGTCAGTAGAAAAGCAGCTTATATTGAACCAGGCTCCTTCTGTTGCTGCGTTCCACTTGAAAAGATTCAAGAATGATGGCTCCTATGTTGAGAAGATTGACAAGCACGTGGAGTTCCCACTAGAGCTAGACTTGCTGCCATACACTGGTGGCGATCGGAATAATGATGTGAGTATATGGGCTCCGGTTTTGCTAGAGAATTTCTATCAACAAATAATCAAATAGTAAGCTTGTTACTGATGTCAAAGCCATTGGTTGAAAGATCTGTTAGGAAAATGAACTTCATAAATAGTAGTCCCAATGCAACTGTCTCATGATCTAATCTGAAAAATTATGATGGTTGAGTAATTAGCACTTTCTATTGGGTGCTGATGGTGAATGGCTTTAGAAAACTTAGCTGCTTCAAATATTTTTACTAATTGAGTGATCATACCTTTGCATGAGTTTTTAGTAAATTTTCTTTTGGTAATCCAGTGGTAAAGATACTTTTAGGGTGGGATTAGTGGGGTTTAAGTATTACTTTAAACTTGAAAAGAAAATGCATATTTCAATTATCTTTGTTTGGGTTTTTGTTATATGGACAGGTACTAAACTCTGTTTTCTCTATACCATATAGGTGGAATTGAAGTACAATCTGTATGCAGTTGTTGTGCATATCGGATTCTCATCCACTTCAAGTCATTACTATTGCTTCATTCGTTCTGCCCCAGATGCATGGTACAGGTTGAATGACTCAAAGGTAATACTTGCTGTAGTTACATGTATTTTTTGGATTAGTAAGATTAGTATTTTGTGGATATCATACGTTGGCAATTGAGATTCACCTTCTTACTTTAGGTTTTGTTTGGATGATAGGAGGAATCAAAGAGTGAGAATGAGAATCTTTTTACTAGTGATTTAATTACTAGTAATAATATATTTCTGTGTCAATGTAATTTAAGTGTTTGGTTTGGTTAGGAATCCTCTATAAATCCTCTAAAGGAATATGATTTAATTTTAAATTTTATGGGACCATCAATTTATTTTATTCTAAAATGAGTTATGTACCTCCAGGAATGTGAGATTTCGATGGGGAATATGGGAATGGGATTCTTACTATTGTGGTAATTTCATTTTGCCTTGGGAACTATTGTAAGAATCACATTCTCATTCTTAGATGCATCCAAACAAAGGAATGAAAGAGACATGGAATGAGATTCTAATTTTCCTAGCCACTCCCTCCAGCCAAACATGGCCTTAAGGTTGCATTATGTTTGTTGGATATGACCTACTTTCCTAGTTTTGGCATTTGCAACAGTCTAGTGGCAAAATATGATGATGGATAACAATTTGATTATTCTGGATCATAGTTAAGTAGTGATAGTTAAGCCAGAAAGTGCAATGGCTGAATTTTTTGAGAATGTCCATATCGTTGCTGAAGTACAATAAATTAAATTTTCTCTACATATTGAACCTGTAGGTTATTTCCCGAATGGGACTGAATAGGTGTACTTGTTGCAGTCCATCATTGATTTTTTCAACTTGTGACATTGATATTTAAGGATGGGCCCTGTTATGGTGCAGCCAGTTGATTTGGTTTTGTTTTAGTATGGAGATGCTCTAGACTATTGTATTGTTTCAATGTGTAAACTAATTATAAGATACATGGTCTTGTCATTCTGTTTGTGATTTAACAACATAAGAAACAGTAGCATCATAATTTTTTCTTCTTTTACCAAATTACCATGAACAAAAACAGAATAATGCTATGTACACAGAACACACACATACATTAGTCTCGTATGGAATTGTAAATTTCTTAACTACATAAGTTTTGAATAATGTGCACTTAAGTGTGTGACTAATGAAAAAACCTTTTACTGAGGGAATTGATTTTCAGATTCTACATTTGCATATTAAAGCATAAGTTTTATTATATGCCCTCTTTCCAAGCTACAAAGACATGTTTGCACCCCTTCATGCAGTAGCCTAAAATGAAAACAGCAGTTGTAGAGATGGCTAGAGACAAAAACATATAGACTATTCAGAAGTATCTTCCACTACGCTCTCACAAAAACACATACATTAGTCTGGTAACATATAGACAAAAATATATAGACTATTCAGACAAAAACACATACATCAGTCTGGTAATATGCTTCTGATAGAGAGATGGGTTTGTTGTTTTGCTAGAGCTTGTGTTAATAATCCTAACCTCGTATCTTCCACTCCGCTCTCACACTTGCCCTCCTCTAAGTAAAAGTTCAACCAAAGCATATAGACTATTCAGAAGTAGAAAGACTATTTTAACTTAGTTTCCATTGTTGAAACATAGGTCAATACTGGCATATTGTGGAACAATAGTTAGAATTGATATATACATATGAATGATGTTTTATTTACAAAATGGTATTGATAGTCATTTAATTTGTTAATGTTTCCTTTACTTTCCATGTAAAATTTACATTTTTTGTCCAATTTTACAATAAAAGTGATGTGCAAATATTTTCAACAAAAATTTACCTGACATTATTTCTCATTTTCTATGGTACAGATGGATTATCTCGTGCACAGAGCTAAATTGTATATGACTGATTGGCACTATAAGCATTTTTGGAAGGAATATATATTTTTGGATAGATGTGTATGGAAAAGATTTGGGTGGACTAGTAGTTATATTTTTGGAAAGACTAGTAGTTATATTTTTTGGATGAATGTGTATGGAAAATATTTGGATAGACTACTAGTGTGTATATTTTTTTATAGATGCGCATGGATAACAATTTAAAACATAATAACAACTAATTGTTATGTTTTAAATTATTATGCTAGATGGATGTGACTTGGATGATTATATAGATTACAAGTGAATTTTTAATTGGAGGAATATGTAGTTTGAAATTACTTGTGGATGAAAACTTATAATAGTTGATGACTTTCATTAAACAGGTTCAGTTTGGATGATTTATATTTTGTCGAATGTTCATGATTCAGTTGATTTGAATGATGCTTGTAAATTACATATTATATTGAATGGATTGGATGAATTATTATGAATTATAGGTTTATTTAGTTGGATGTTGGCGACCAAATGTTGATCTTGTTTTTTCTGTTTTGGCGACCAATTGATTTGTTGGGAAAGATAACTAATACTTTTGCCAACTAAATAATTAGTTGTTAAAGTCATTAATTTTGGCGACCAAAAAGGAATTCGTCGCTAATAGGTCAATTGCTGACTAAAGTTTTAGTTGCGCAAACATTTTTTTTCACGACTAACATGTTTGGTGGTTGAATGTGACAATTGCCGACCAATCTTTTTGGTCGTGGAATGTGCCATTTGCCGACCAAACTTGTTGGTCGTGGAATGTATTGCCGACCAAACTTTTTGGTCGCGGAATGTGACAATTGGCGACCAAATTTGTTGGTCGTGGAAATGGGCCACAATTGCCGACCAAACTATTTGGTCGTTGAATGTGTGAATTGGCGACTAACATGTTTGGTCGGGAAAATATGACTTTTCGCGACTAAAGTGTTTTAGCTACTAAATGGATTAGTCGCAATAATTACATATTTAGCGATCAAAAATTTAGTCGGCAAATATAACTTTTTCGCGACCAAAAAATTTTTTAGTCGCTAATTACTTTCTGCGACCCTCAATTGGCGACCAAAGTGGCGACCAAAAAAATTAGTCACGGATAACTTTTGTCGACTAAAAATGGACTTTTGTCGACCAAATTTTTAGTCGGCAAAAGAGTGAATTCTTGTAGTGAGGGTAACAGTACAAATAACCCTTGAGAATACACTGTTTTGCCTCTATTTGCTCTCTGTTGTAGCAAAAAAAGAAGTTCAAGGCAGCAGTGGCCGATTGGCCCTCAGCAGTGGCCGACGGCCACCAGCAGCAGCCGACCGACCACCAATGGTAATCGACGGCCACCATTGGTAGCCGACCGGCCATCAATGAAATCTTGCACAGTGTGTTCTTGAGGTGGAGCAGAGGCATTCAGGGAGATGACAGCACTGTTGGTGTTCAAATATGTGCAAACAGAGGCTACAACAGCAAGGCAGTGGCTTTTCGGGTGGAGGAACCGAGCATGCATGCATCCCTTGCTTCCCGAGGCCATTTAATTGCTTTGTTTAGTTAATTAGTGGTAGCTAATTAATTAGTTTAATTGCTTTGTATCTAATTAGCTTAGTATTTAGCTAATTAATTTGATTATAATATTTAATTAGCTTAGAATTGTAATAGTTAACTTAATTAGCGTAGCTAATTAGCTTATTCATTCGGACCCTCCTTCGCGAGGGCATAGTGTTCTAATAAGTGTGCGTGCGTGTGTGTATGTCTTTGAACCCCACGTCTTTCTCCCTTTTATTTTATCGCTTTTGATGGTTAGATTAGGGACATATTTCAATTACCATACCTTATGCTTGTATGTTTGCATCCATTCATTTGTCTTGCATGCACCGAGGCTTGGCACATCATTCAAACTGCATTGCACTTTCAATACTTCTTCGAATACGTGTTTAATCGCATATTTTTCAAATCGATTCATATGCCATATTAGTAGCCGAGCCTATTAATTGCATATTGCATGTGTTGTATTAGGCATCTTACATAGTTAGGGATCATGCATCTTTTTAGCTAGTTTCTATTTTGGCTTGGACTACTCGATGAGTTTTATGCTTTAGCATACTTGCATGAGTGTGATTGCCATATTGCCATGTTTCGCATGCTTGCCATGAGGCTATGTGCTTCAAAAATAAACTGCTTGAATGCCTGTGGATAAAGGCTTTCAACAAATGTGCGTTTTAAGCCCACTTTGTTGTGGCAAAATCATGTTTTAAGCCCACTATGTTTGGTGGCAAATCCATATCTTTAAGCCCACTTGAGGTGGCAAATTCAAACCATTTTCGAAAACAAACACGAGTTGAATTGTTCCAAGTCTTGCGACTAGTCTATACTTGCTTGTGTGCGTCACAGAATAAAGCTAGTTTAATAATCGCAATAAGAACGCATAATGTTTATAAAATGACATATCATGATCAGTAGAGGCTGATCTTTGATTGGGTGAGCGGGGGTGCTCATTTCAGGACCTTCCCTTCTCGTACCTAAGTTCTCGAGCCGAGACAACTTTGGTGATGACGAACACGTGACCTTTGACATGAGTCAGGGTTTCCTAAATTTTTCCAAAAAAAAATATTTAGGTGACGACTCTGTATCAGGCAAAGCAGTCCAATTTTGGCATTATTTGATTTAAAATCGATTTTCCAAAATGATTTGCCAGATTTGGACTCTTTGGTGTTTATCAGTTTCACATTGCACTTGTGAGACTAGATTCAGAATCGCGAGAGTCTGAACTGTGAGGCCTTCTTTTCAAACCTTTCTGAAAGGCGGGGCGCAGAAAAAGGCAAGTCCACAGTTTCTGGTGACTCTGCTAGGGATTTAGAGAACTTGACTTGAACTCATGATATGTTATTTTATCTACACTTATGTGTTTCTTTGCATTTGCATTTGCATCGGTGCACCTAAGTCATAGTGTTTGCCATCTGCTATTCCTGAGTGGTTTGCCGGAGGCTTGCTTGGAAAAGCTTGCCAAAAGGCTAACCGGTTGCGGGCTCTGCCACGATGGAAACACAACCCTTGGATCTGGACTACCGCTGTTCCGTTTGATCCTCCTTTCACTTCTCAGTGTTAGGTG